TCCCCTGGAGCTTTTCAGACACAACCCCACTCCCACAAGTGGGAGAAAAATGCCCGAAGAGGGGCCCAGGACAAAGCAGTCCCCCTGTTGGGGGCGGGAATGGGACTCTGGGAACCGGAGCTGGCAGGTGGGTCTTCTTGCTGTGGGCATCGGGTCAGGCCAGGGACGGCCTGACTTGGGTGCCAACCCAGGCTCTGTCAGTAGCCAACTGTGTGGCTTTGGGAAAATCACTGTCTCTCTCTGAAGCTCAGCTTTAGAAACGGAGCCCTTGCGAAGGTGGAGGCCCGACTGGTGCGCTGAGGCCCCGCTGGGGAGGGGCAGGCAGGCGGCTGGCGGGCGGTGCTGAGCTCTGTGCTGGCCCAGGCGGTGGGCGCCGGGAGGATCGGCTGATCTGGAACCTGGTGGAAGATCGTCCTTGACTTATCATGTGGCCTTAAGAGGTCACTTCCCATTCTAGTCCTCAGTTTCCCCTGCAGGGAAATCAGGAGGCTGGGCCAGGTGGTTCCTGGGACTCCCCTTAGCTCTGACGTTACAAAGCTCTACATGCCCTCCCCCGCCCCGCGTGTGGGCCTCAGGACCTGTGTGGGGGGCGCGGAGGGCAGACTCCTGTCCCGGGGCAGCAGGCAGTGAGCGGTGGATGGGAAGTGGGCTCCGGTGGGAAGCGGGAGGCGCTTGTATGGATCCCCACCTCAGCTGGGGGACACAGAACGCCGGTGACCAACGCCGAGCCCCAGCGTGGGAGCCAGCCCTTCCCCCACAAGGCGGCTCATTGTGCAGCCAGAACTGCCCCTCCAGGCCCCAAGCGGCCTGGACCGAAGAACATTCATTTAGGGGAGACGCCTGAGCCAAACGCAAGCCTCCCAGAAGCCAGGCTCAGCTCCAAAGTGTCCCCCCAAGTGTTCTGGGGGGAAAGCCTAGAATGAAAAAGATGTTGTCTTCACCCACAAGGACCCAACAAGAATCGCCGGTGCCTCCCGCTGCCCAGTCCGCGTCCCCTGCCTCAGTTTCCTTATCTGTTCGTCCGAAAAGCACCCTCTCTGACATCCTGTTTGGGGCAGGCTCCGGAGGGCAGACAGGACCGGCCGCCACTGTCCAGTGCTGCCTCGTCCTCTCTGGCGTCTCTCCTGGGAGCAGCAGCGTCCTGCAGGGACCAGGACTGCCTGCGTCGGGGCGTCCTGGGACACCCTGAAATGCTTCTGGGCACTAACCACTGGCCAAGGTCTCGAGGTCAGCAGCGAGCCGATAGAAACCGTAGCTGAACCAGGAGACAGGCAGTAACTGCCGCATTTCCTGGCCGTTCGGAAAGTTGAGACTTTTCTTACTTGGCAAGAGTGTGTGTGCGAGTGAGCGTGTGTGAGCGTCTGTGAAAGAGAGAACACGCGAAGACATATAAGAACAGGGATCCCGAGACAAAGAGACCAGGTGTCTGTGATGGTGGGGCCCCTAGGCCGGGGCTGCCTCCACCCTGAACTTGGGGCTGATTTGGTAAAAACTACACGGGATACAGCCATATGCAGATGAGATGTGACAACCCGACACCCCCCCCCCCTCCGGCCACCCTTGTTGGTGAATTTGCACAAGGGCAGACTGGCCAGCTGTCGGCCACTTTTCCCAAGTCCAGAGCAGGCAAGAGAGAGTCTGCCTAGTAGACACAGCTTAGGAAGGGGAGGCAGGACAGCCCATGTGTTCGCAGACAGAACAGACATCAGTGCAACAGTTAGCCTTGGGGGGCTAAAAGGTTGTCGTCACCCCAGAAATAGAGCCCCCCAAGAAGTGGCTTTTCAGCCACCCTGTCCCCAGCGTGCTCTGGGTCGCCTAGGGTTCCGGGAAGGCAAAGGAATAGACAGGGCATCTGTCAACAAGAGTGGACTGGAACCTCACCTGTGGTGGCGTTCAGACAATATCAATGATGTTACCAGGAAAGGGTCCCGGTCGGGATGCTGGCAAAGCCTCAACTTACCCCCTCTGCACTCCTGAAAAAAGCCACACTCCAGGGAAGTTCAGGGAAGACAATCTGTTTATTACAGCAATAGATCCAATCGAGAGACAAGCTGCAGAAACTCCGTCCGCTCCGAAAGGGGGGCGCAGCACGCCCTCGGGCCGCAGGGGACCCCGGAGCCTCTCCCACCACCTCGCCAACCACCATGCAGCAGTAAGGCCTTGAGCACACAGGCAGTAGGCTGCTCCCCTCCCAGTGCCCAAAGCACTAAGAACATTCCCGAAGGCGACTCTCACGCATCAACTCAAAACACAGAAACGACCGTCTCCCTCCCCGGTGTGTCTGTGGGGGCGGATGCGGTGAGATGTTTTACGTTTGTGTATATAATATCTCGATACCTACATAGACTGTGCACAAAGGCACCGGCAAGCTTCAGCGAAGGAAGACATCAGCAAGAGGCACAGCAGGAGACGCAGGCTGTCTGTCCTTCAGACAGGAGCAGGAAGGAGAATTTCTCGGCATGACCCGTTGCGGCTGCGCCGGGCCACTCCTCGGGCCTGGGGCTCTGCTCCGGACCTGGCCAGTATTTTCAGTGGTCCAACTGCTTAACCTGGCCTTGCACATACTCCCCAGCCCCTCCTCCCCACGGAGGCTCCGGGGAGCAGTCTGGATCCAATCACCTCTTCCGTTTTATTAATTGGGAATAAATGTGATCAGTCCGCACCTAAGGAACCAGTGTCTCCAAAGCCAGTTCCGAGGTACCTCAAGGCATTTCAGTCCTGAATGATTGTGCTTTGCTCCTATACGCTAAATTCCATGGGTTGGCCAGCCCGTCTCTCTGTACGACGGCCCTTCATGAGACAAGAGAGGCGGAGAGGGGGTTTGGAGAGAGCAGGGGAGGGAGGGCGGTTGAGAGTCAGCAGCCTGAACCCCCAGAGCACAGTGACGGGACATGCAGCCAGGGCGGGGCTTGAACCCACGGAGCAGAGAAAGAAACAGCTTGCTGGTCTGAACTGGAAAGCGAGGCCGAGAGCTGGCGGCTGTGGGAACGTCTAGGCTTTCCCGCCTCTGTTCGCGGGAGCCCTGCTCTGCTCCCCACCTCACGGCCCTGGGGGGCAGCTCTGCGGCTTCCAGAGGCGATTCTAGGGGCCCGAGAAAAACCTGCCCTGGATGGTGGGCGCCCGGGGCAGAGGAGGGCCCCGCCGTCCCCACCTGCTCAGGCCCGAGGCCCCGCTGGGTCGGGCAGAGGAAGGAAGGAAGCCAGAATTCTTGGGCTACTTTATGGAGAGTTTGGATTTCTTAGAATCAAGGGAATCTTATAAATAACCCTCCTAATGTTACGAGTCCTGGAAAAACAAAGGTGCCCGGCATCAGCACAGACCCTCACTCACCCCGGGAGAGGAGGGCATTTGAACGGCTGCCAACCAGTGACACCTGCAAACTGCCCACGTGTGGCAGAACCTTCCCTGGTTCCGGCGGGTCTGAGGGACCCACCACCCCCTCTCTCCTCTCGGCTGCCTGGCGTGGGAGACGGGCAATGTCCCTGGGCATTCTGTTCCCACGCACCCCAGGGGTCACCAGCCAGCAGGCCTCCCTGGCAGCCCCACCCCGTCCATGGATGCTGAGCCTCCCCGTTGGCAGTGTGTTGATTGGCAGTTGGGTACTGCGCAGAAGAGCTGCGACTTCCGGGCGGGCGGACCCACCCATCCAGGAGGTCTCTGGCTGGTCGCCCACCCCCTGTGCTGATCGCTCACCCTCTGCCCTTCTTTCCCTCCTTCCTCCCTCCCAGGCTGACTCTGGAAACTTCCTGCTGCCGTAACTCTGGCCCTGCAGCAGGGCTGCGCAGGTGGGATTAGACCCACCCAGGGGAAGGGGTCTGGCCCCACCGTGCGGAGCTGCCAGCTCCTGACCGTGGTTTGCGTGTCCCCAGCGCCCAGCACAGGGCCTGGCCCATAGCAGATGCTCGAGAAATGGATGTTTCGTTGAAGTGAAGTAAATGGAGCCCCGTATGCTACGGCTCACTCCCCAAACTGACCGTCTAAAGGGCAGAGGCAGAGAGTGGCCCCTGAGACGGTCCCTGTCCTGTGCCCACCCCCTGCCCCGGACACATCCCTGCCCTGAGCTCCTGGAAACCAGGAGGAGGCTCGGACCCCTGGGCAGGGCGTGGGCACTACCCGCAGCTCTGTCCTCATCATGGCTGACCCTGCCCCTGTCGCCACCCCCGGAGGGGAGCAGGGCTGGGCCAGGGCCGTGCCCTCCACGCCCCTCCCGCCTGCCAGTCCAGGGCTGGAGGGGAAGGTGACCGACCCTCGTTTCTGTCGGCTCCCACCTCAGTCCCCATCTGTCGTGCGAGTGGCTTGGCTAGTGGGTCGCTGAGGGTCTGCCAGGTGGCGTTCTCCGTGTCAGCAGTTTCTCTCGCGATCCCCTCCGCAGGGGCTCGGGGGTAGCGTGGTTCTAAAGTGACGGCCGCCGTCCCTCTCCCTGGCACGCCCTGCCCTGTGCTGGGGGCAGCTGGTCCGGAACCAGCCCCTGCTGCTGGCACCCCTGTGTGTCCTGCCTGCGGGGCCCGGGCCTCGGGGAGGCCTCTGCACAGCCCGTGCGTGGAGCCGGCCCCTCCGTGGCCGAAGCGTGGCTCCGAGGGTGGGCAGCTGCGGTGGAAATGGCCCCGGCCTGGAACTCAGAGCCCTTCGGTCTGTCGCCACACACCCCAGGGGTCCCCAGCCAGCAGGCCTCCCCGTCCATGAGGAGCCGGCGGAAGCTGGGCCCCCATTTGCCTCTAGTCTCGCTTTCCTTCAGTGCCCAGAGAGGCAGGGTCCCTAACATGCCCCCAGGTAAAGGAGCCCACAGCACCCCAGCCCGCCTGGGCTGCCCCGGGCTGGGGGGCGGGGGTGCCCCAGCCCAGGCCGCACTGGGCAGCACAGGAAGGCCCCACCCACAGGTGCTCTCTGAAGCCGCCACCACTGAGTCCAGGCACCCCCAGGCTGGACAGCTGAGCCCCTACCCCTGCCCCTCTCCCCGGGACCCTCGCAGCCTCCTGCCTCGCAGGGACTGGCAGCTGGAACCTACTTCTCCTCCCCCGGGGCCCACATCCCGTACGCGTGGCGGTTTCTCAAATGGAACAGGTGGGTTCCTCTCGGTGCGGTGTGGGGATGCAAGGTGAGGGGTTCAGGAGGCGCCAGGCTGGCCCTGGGACCCTGGTTTGGGAGAAGCACACCAAGAGAGGGCAGGCAGGGCACACTGTACAAGGCAGAGACGGGAAGGACGGACGCGAGGGAGGGGCCGCCGGCTGCAGCTACTTGGCGCCCTCGTCCACGTTGCCCTCACCATCGGTCTTGCCCTCCTCCTCCGTCTTCAGGTCGTCCGTGCTCAGTTTCTGCTCCTTCTTCCTCCTCACGCACTTCACGATCACCAGCACCAAGATGACCACGGCCAGAAAGCCCCCCACGGAGGCGCCGACGATCACTGCCACCGTGGAGTCCCGCTCGGGGGGCTCTGGGGAGAAAGCAGAACCGCCGGCCGCTGAGCAGCAGGTGGGAAGGGGGCCGCCCACTGTCCCTGCTCCCACGGTGTGTGTGGGTGGGGGGCTAGCTTTACCTTCCTCCAAGCCAGAAACCAGCCCAGGCCATTTACTTCTGAGTCCTGCACCCCCAAATCCCAGAGCCCCTCCAAGCCCCGGGCAGGGGCAGCGTCCTGCAGTTTTAGGAGCACGGACTTTGAGACCAAACGGACCGAACCCGGTCCCCGATGGTATCGTTTATTCGCCCCGTGAGCTGAGCTGCTCCCCTCTCCCAGCCTGGTGCCCCCAGAGGGTTTCACGAGGACGAAGCGAGAGACGGTAGTGGGGCTGGGGCCCGGGCAGAGACAGTGCCCATAAATGACCGCTGCTAGAGCTTCTTCAGGTCAGGGTCATGACTGGCACCTTAAGGACTGGGGGGAGACTCGGGGTGCCTGCACCCTGCTGGGCCGTGGTGGAGAGGGCTGGCCGGGAAGAGTGGGTCCCGCGTCCGCGCGGCCCTCACCTTCCATGAGGACCCTCAGGTGGATTGTGCCGTGGCCGCGGTGGCGGTCGGGGGGGTTGGTGACGTAGCAGTTGTAGTAGCCCTGGTCCTCGGGCTCCACGTTTCTCAGCGTCACGGACACGTCGTATTTGCTGGGGTTCCCCGAGAACTCCACGCGGTCTCCGAACCGCTCCAGCTTCAGGTTGATGATCTTCATGCGGAACTGGAGGAACTGGGGTGGGGCAAGGTGGGGCTGGGTGAGCTGAGTGAGTGGGAGGCCCCTCCTCCCACCCTCCTTTTACCTCCAATTCCTGCCCCCTCCCCAGGGCCACCCAGACACACAGCACACCCCGCCCATGACCTCCGCAGTGGGCAGCCCGCCGGTGCAGAGCAAGGGGTCCTGGCCCCAGGGGTCGGGGGGCAGGTGCAGGAACTCGGGCCGGTGCTAAGGGTCCTGGCCGGGGGTGGGGGGGCAGGTGGCCGGTGCTAAGGGTCCTGGCCCGGGGGTGGGGGGCAGGTGGCCGGTGCTAAGGGTGCCTGGCCCGGGGGGGGGGGGGCAGGTGGCCGGTGCTAAGGGTCCTGGCCCGGGGGTGGGGGGGCAGGTGGCCGGTGCTAAGGGTCCTGGCCCGGGGGTGGGGGGGCAGGTGGCCGGTGCTAAGGGTCCTGGCCCGGGGTGGGGGGGGCAGGTGGCCGGTGCTAAGGGTCCTGGCCGGGGGGGGGGGCAGGTGGCGGGAACGCAGGCCGGTGCTGAGGGTCCTGGCCCGGGGTGGGGGGGCAGGTGGCGGGAACGCAGGCCGGTGCTAAGGGTCCTGGCCCGGGGAGGGGGGGCAGGTGGCCGGTGCTAAGGGTCCTGGCCCGGGGTGGGGGGGCAGGTGGCGGAACGCAGGCCGGTGCTGAGGGTCCTGGCCCGGGGTGGGGGGGCAGGTGGCCGGTGCTAAGGGTCCTGGCCCGGGGGTGGGGGGGCAGGTGGCCGGTGCTAAGGGTCCTGGCCCGGGGGTGGGGGGGCAGGTGGCCGATGCTAAGGGTCCTGGCCCGGGGTGGGGGGGCAGGTGGCCGATGCTAAGGGTCCTGGCCCGGGGTGGGGGGGCAGGTGGCGGGAACGCAGGCCGGTGCTGAGGGTCCTGGCCGGGGTGGGGGGGCAGGTGGCGGGAACGCAGGCCGGTGCTGAGGGTCCTGGCCCGGGGAGGGGGGCAGGTGGCCGGTGCTGAGGGTCCTGGCCCGGGCCCGCCCCAGGCTCACCATCTCCTCAGAGCAGTTGCTGCACCCCTGGTAGGTCCAGTTCAGCGAGAACTGCTTGTGGTTCACGGTGTAGCAGGAGTTGAAGGTGCAGGGCAGGCGGGCGTCCGAGCCGTTGAGCACGTGGAGGATGGTGGGCACTGTGACCTCCATGCCCCGCCCTGATGGCACTGCCGACAGAGCCACAAGGGGGTGAGCCTCCGGCTGGCGGGGCCGGTGGGGGGGGCACCAGCCTGCTGTGTCTGCTGCGAAGCGGACCGGCTATGGCAGAGGAAGTCCCTCGTGGCTGAAACTAGTCAGGGGTGTGGTGGGGTAGGCAAGCCCATAAGGGGTAACTGCTGTGGTCCTGGGGGTGAAATGGGGGCAGAACAAGGCTGGGGTAGAGAGAGACCAAATCATCTGTCAAGCCAGGGACAGACAGATGGCCCCAAGCCTTTTCCGGGACCTGGTAGGGCAGCCCGTCCCCAATCTGTCCTGCCCCAATCTGCCTGCTAGCTGAAGACCTTGGAGAAAATGCCACTGTGCTGGCCTCAGTTTCCCCGTCTCCTCCACGACGTCCGGCCACGTCCGCTGAGCCCAAGCCCTCCAGCTGAGGCTCAGTGTCCCTGATGGGCCGGCAGCACCGACAACAGACGGAGCTCAGAAGGCCTCACACGGGGCACCCCAGCTCCCTGCTCAGCCCCCGTCTCTGGCAGGAAAGAGGGCAAACCAGCCGTGGGAGGGAGGGGTGCCCAGGAGAGGAGACACGGTTCCCAGGGACCAGCTGACGAGTGTGCAGGACAAGGGCCCTCCGCAGACAGGCCTGGACACACCGCGGCAAAGCAGCGATCCTGCAGCATCTGTGGGGGGCACCAGGCTCGGTCCGGGGGACCTGGGTATGGCGCAGACATTCCTAGCAGGGCAGAGCCCGTCCACGCGCTTCCAGCTCAGGCTGCAGTGCCCCCCGTGGGACACAAAGCGGGGCACCCATGAAGGGGGCACCTGCTCTCAGGTCATGCAATTCCTCCTTACCGTGTGCCCCCCGGGGCACCTCGCTTGCCTCACCCTGCTCCTGGCCTTCGTTCTAAGATTCGCTGCCAATAGCATCCAAACCTCATCCCCAAAGATGGATTTATTTATCGAGGACAAACTGTAATGTTCAGCGTCAATCATTCATCTGCCCGTTTACCAAATGAGTCCGGGCCCCGGGTGACGGTTGTGGACAAGACAGGCGGGTCGCGCGTGTGGAGCCAGTGTTCTGGGGAGGGGACAGGCACCAAGGAGGAAAGGGGATAATACCGTGACATTAGGAGTGAGACAGGGCAAGGGTCATAAGGACTAAAGCAAGGTAGGGGGTGTTGTGGGTTTTTTTAATTCTTATTTATTTGGGTTTTTTTTTATCCTCACTCGAGGACATTTTTGCATTTATCTTCAGATAGAGCGGGAGGGAGAGAGAGAGAGAGAAACATTGATGTGAGAGAGACACATCAACTGGCTGCCACCCACACGACCCAACCAGGGCTGGGGACAAACTGCAACCGAGGTACGTGCCCTTAGCAGGAACCGAACCCGGGTCTCTCTGGTCCGCAGGCCGACGCTCTCACCGCTGAGCCAAACAGGCCAGGGCTCCTTTGAAATCTTGAGGAATCAAGTTCCAGGGCTGCTGAGTGTCAGGAGAAAAGTCCCAGTGGCTGAAATGACCTGCGTGTGTCCGAGGCACAAGGAGCCACGTGATCAAGGGGGCACATGGTGAGACCTGAGGTCCGAGTCTGGCAGGGACCGAGGCACAGGGCCTGTGGGCCAGAACATGGACTGAGGAGCCGAGTTCTTGGGATGAGGCTGGGTGCCCTGGGGACGGGAGCAGGAGCCGCTTGGAGGCTGTCCAGGCAAAGCTGCGCTGTCTCTGCAGGGCTGGCTCAGACCTGGAGATCTGACTCGGTGTGGGTTCATTCCCAGCTCCGCCTCCAATCAGGGGTGCGACCGTGGGCAAGGCCCTTCACCCCCTTGCCTCGCTCCCCCTCCGAAGGACGAAGGACGCAGCTGGAGGCGCCCACCTCCGAGTTGTTAGATCATCAAACAAGAGGCAGTACGTGGGCGCCGTGCAGTCTGCCTAGCAGCCCCGGTGAGCTCTCGCCCTGAATTCTCCACCAGCCTGCTCTCGGAGACGGAGGGGCTCGGGGACAGTCCCTGGCAGGGGCACCCCTGAATTCTCCACCAGCCTGTTCTCGGAGACGGAGGGGCTCGGGGACAGTCCCTGGCAGGGGCACCCCTGAATTCTCCACCAGCCTGCTCTCGGAGACGGAGGGGCTCGGGGACAGTCCCTGGCAGGGGCACCCCTGAATTCTCCACCAGCCTGCTCTCGGAGATGGAGGGGCTCGGGGACAGTCCCTGGCAGGGGCACCCCTGAATTCTCCACCAGCCTGCTCTCGGAGACGGAGGGGCTCAGGGACAGTCTCTGGCAGGGGCACCCCTGAATTCTCCACCAGCCTGCTCTCGGAGACGGAGGGGCTCGGGGACAGTCCCTGGCAGGGGCGCCTGACCCCTGCAGGACGCATCTCCACTGTTCTGCCCCGCACAGCTGCAGGCCCCACCCCAGAGGGAGCCGCACTGCAGCCTGGACGGCGGACGCCAGGCCCTTCTCAGCTCAGCCCTTAGGACGAGCGGCGGTGGGCAGGGCTGAGGGATGGGGATGCTCTGCACTGGCCCTGGCGGTCATGAGGAAGCCCCGGGGGCGGGATGGGCCTGCTGGAGGGACGGGCATGCAGGCCCACCCGCGGGCCACGGCTTCCCGGGGCGCCCTGAACTGCTCCTTAGGAGACTATGACCGGGGACGCCCCAGCGCCCCTCTGCTCTGTCATGGCCGCTGTGAAGCAGCCAGCACAGCTCAGGCAGGGAGAGGGGTGTGGGAAATGCCACCCCCGCCCACGGAGGCGGAGGCTGCGGAGAAGGAGCCTGGCAGGGCCTCGTCCTGAGCTCACCCCGCACCCCCCAACGCCCCGCTTCTCCAGCACCAGCACGTCCCTCGAGAGGAGCCTCCGGGCGACACCAGGGGGCAGGTGCTGTACACCTGGCTGACCCACCCCTGCCTCTGTCCCGCCGCAGCCCACGACATCCGTCCAGGTAGAACCCCACCAGCAGCACCCTTCATGCCGAGAAGCCAGGACCTTGCGGTGGAGGAGGGCAGAGCCCCGGGAGCCAGGCGCCCCTTGTGGCTGCCAGGAGGGGCTCGGACAGACCCGTGCCAGGCGGGTCCCTGCCCTCATCCCCACTGCAGGGCCCCGCAGGAAGCACTGGGCAGATCATGCCCCCTGCTGGTCAGAGAGGTCAACCGCCGAGTCCCAGCGGCCGCACCAAGGAATGGGGACTCACCAAACCCAAAGAAGCCAGAGGGACCCTCAGGATTGGGGGTCTAGCCCCATTGTCTCACGGGGGGCGGGGGGTGAGGCCTTGAGAGAGATGGCAGAGGATGGGCGAGCTGGGACCAGAACCGTGGTTCCTGACCCTCGTCCAGGGCCCGTGAGTCCCCTCGTCAGGCTCAGGGCCTTCCACCAACCCAGACCCTCGTGAAAAACATGGAAACCATCTGGCAAGGTCGGAGCAAAGTCCTGGTCTCTTGACGAACAAACTCTGCTGCCTCGGGGAAGCACAGAGGCCACAGCCGGGGCGCAGCTGGTGCTGCAGTAAGGACAGTGACAGTAACAGCAGAGGTGGCTGTGCTGCAGGCCGCGTGAGCCCTCTGGGGGTTCACCTGTCAGTACTCACAGCACCCCCACCGTCCAGATGAGGACATTCAGCAGTTAAATGACTAGCCCAAGTTAGTGAGTGGTAAAGTTAGATCTGAGCCCACACTGCCAGGCTCCAGACAGAGGGTTGAGGGGTGGAGGCTGGTGGGGGTGTGATTGGTTTTCAAGGTATCCCGGGGACTGAACCTCCTTCTGTCTACACAGCATGTCCGGCCCCCATCTCGGGCAGGCTTGCCAGAGGGGAAGGACTCTACTTAAAGGGACCTCCATACAAGGGGAGCCCACAGTCTTCCTGGTTGTCTGTTTGGGACCAGGTCTCCCCATTTCCAGCTCACAGGAAGGAAATGATGGTCAACAGCTTCTGATCTTAGTTCCAAAACAGGACCAGTGCCAGGCCCCCCGCCTTCTGCAAGGTGCATCTGGCCCTCAGCCCCACGTCATCCTCTGTTCTCTCCGGCCCCCCGCAGGGATCACGGACATGCTCATCTCCTGCCCAACACCATCTCCCGCAGAGACGAGGGGTTACTTCTCTTCACCCTCTTTCCAGCCCCGCAGCAAAGGATGAAGTAGGTTTGTTTTCTTCTTGGTTAAAAAAGAGAGAGTCTGAGCAGAGAAACTGTCTCCTCAGCTTGGGGACCACCGCCTCCCGGGCAGGCCCAGGCTCCTGTCTGCCTGACCAGGCGGCCCTGCCCCCCAGGCTGTCCCTCCCGGCTCAGTCCACCCTGCAGCCAAGGGAGCAATTCACCGGGACCTCCACCGGCGCCCTTGCGATCTGTCCTGCCAGCCTCCAGCCCCCCGGGCCTCCTCCACTCAGGGACCCCGAGTTCTGACTCTCCCTGAAAACACCACTTTTCACCCCTCCTTCCACATCTTCACACTCGTTTTCGCTTCAGGTGGGGGAGCAGCTTCACCTTCTGCACCCGAGTCCTCCCACTCAGGCTGCGGATGCTGATAGGATGTCACCGGGGAGACAGCCTGGCAGCGAGCTGCCCGCGCCCTCCCCGGCCCATCATCCCGCTGCCCCCGCGCGCCCGGGAGTCAGAGGGCGTCACGGCCGACGCCGGGGCTCTCGGGCCCTGATCTGATCGTAGGCACCTCGGTTTCCTAACCTGTGAAATGGGGACAATAATCGGACCTCCGCTCTCCGCTGCTGTGAGGGTTAAATGACTCACTAGTGTGTGAAGCTCACAGCAGTGCCTGGCACGGTCGGTCCGCAAAACATTGTCCTCACCATTGTTACGGCTCTGTCACAGCATTGCAGTGCTGGGTGGCCAGTATCTGTCTACGTGCCCGAGTCCCTCCAGGGGCCTTCCTCATGCCCTCCCTGGGCCCGGAACAGCAGTAGGGACACAGTGGGCCCTCAGTAGAAGTCTGCAGAAGGAGGAGGCATGGTCCCCCACCCACCAAGTCTGGGTCCCTGCCCACAGCAGACATGGCCAGCGGGGTTGGGTGAGGACCGGACTCCACCTCTAGGCCTCACTAACATACGCAGACTTGGGTGACCCGGCCGGTGACCGCAGAGCCGACGGTCCGGGAAAACCCCAGGGAAGCCCCACCATGTGGATTGTTCGAGATAAAAACTGGTCTCATGGGCTCTCACGGTGCCTGCCGCTGGCCCGGCTTGTCCCCTTGGCCAGCTCTGCCGTCACACTCACAAACCCCGTCCCTGGCAGTGTCCTCCCAGCATGTGTGTCTCTCCAACCTGACGCTGCTACTGCAACCCCGATGCTCGGGGGCCGCCCTCAGCCGCAGCTTTGGAGCGCCGGGGGGCCTCGCCACAGCGCCCACCCAGTGCCTCCCTTTATCATCCTCCCACCCAGGTTCGGGGGCTCTGGCTCCTCCAATCACCATGTCACAGCCAGAGCCCTAACCTCTTCACCCCAGAGCCCATCTTCCCCTAAGCCACACCCTCATCCTGGTCCCTGAGCCCCCTTCCTCTCTTCACTTAGACGAGGCTCCCGAGGCTGCCCCATCCCAGGAAGCTCCCCTGACTCCATCCTCAGGCCCTGACACCCAGCTCTGCCAGCCACTGAGATTCTTGGATCCGTCGACACAGCAGTGGCGTTTCTGGAACACTGGGGGCGGTAACGTTCCGCAGTTAAGAACGGGCTGAAGTCAGACAGGCGTGTTCCTATCTCAGCTCACCTTCAAGGCGTCATGTGACCTTACTGGGCAAGTTCCTCCACTTCCCTGTACTTGTTCCTCGCTTGTGACATGAGCATAACCACGGTATCTACCTCGCATGATTACTGACTATAATAACAGTCCCTACGTCATGTGATCAACCCTGAGGACAAACCAAGGCGCACGGCGCCTGGGCACACGAAATGCTTTCAGAAAGCTCACCTAGGACTGGGCACCTGGTTGATCGCCATGCAGACTCACAGAACACCCAGCAGGAGGCTCTCTCCAGGTGACCCACGGGAGAGCTGGAGCTCAGAGGGTCGAGTAACTGGCCTATGGGTCTGAAGTGAATGACAAAGGTCTGGCCTTAAACCCGGACCGGAGTCCAAGGTTCACGCTCTTTGTCTGACCCACACATTCCTGCTGTGTTGTGTGTCCAGTAAGTCAGCCAAGCCGATAGGTTCTATCAGGCCGGCTTCCGGGGGCTCAGCGCTGCCTCCGTGGAGGGCTGCTCCCCAACAGCCCAGCACAGCACACTCGAGAGAGACCCCGGGACAGGGACTGTTCCTCCTGACAGTCCTTGGACTGGCCCACCAGCCTTCAACGCATTTAGGAGCAAGCATGAAGCTACCTACAAAGCCATCTTGCCAATAGCTCTCGCCCACCCACGCCCCAGAAAGTCCATGAATGGCCAGATGCGGAATGAACACGGGATCACGGGGCAGGGCGGTATGAGGCTGGGCTGGGCAGTTCTGGGACTGGCCCCCGGGCTGCTTCCTTTTCATCGTCTCCTGAGGCCCTCAGCTGCCTCCTCCGCTCTGTCCGGCCGTGTTCGGCCCCGTGCCCGCCGCCGCAGGTCTGGCAGTCGGAACAGCCGGCTCAAGCCAGATTCCCGCCCACTCCCAGCGCCTGTCAAAATCAGTGTCCGGGCTTCCAGCAGCCAGACCCAGATTCAACTCTCTGCCCACAACTGCCCTGCACAGCCTCTCCTAATACCCTCCGTCCACCACATTCCAGGGGCCGCGGTTCACAGAAGCCCCTGACGGGGGCCCTCAGTCTCAGGACCCCCACTGCAGCCGCTTTAGAAATAATCCACGGAGACACTCTGCACACGGACCCCCACACACACACAGGTCCACCATCCCGGCAAAATCACGACTCCTCATCCTCAGCAACACTCAGCATTTCTGTGACCCAGGCTCGCCCAGTCCCCAGCAATCTCTCCTGGTCCCCGCACCTCCCTTCCCAAGGACACCGGGGAGAAGCAGCATCTTCCTCCCTGCCCCGGCCCCCCTCCAGCTGTGGCCGCACCTCTGGACCCCGGAAGCATGCAGATGGGCATCTAACTTACCCAAAGAGAAAAAGAGACTGAGCCCCGTGAGGCCGAAGGCAGGGCGAGGGAGCCAGGCATCTCTGTGCATTTTCAGAGACTGATGTCAGTCGGGAGGTGGGACAGGGTGGTTTGAGGGCCACGGGGGAGGGCTTGTCAGGTGCTAAGAAAAATGCACAAGTGTACTTCAAAGACACAGACAACATGAAGGAAGCTTTATTTCCATCTCTCTAATATGGCCGGCCTGTAGGTTGCTGCTGAAAAGAAAGGGGGAGTGGGAAAGGGAGAGAGAGAAAAGGGGGATGGAGTCAATTTTGTGGTTGTTGGATTTCGAGAAGCAGGTGGGAGGGCATAAAATCTCTTCCTGGAAGGGAGAGGCGCTTGGAGGCGCACCCTCTAAAGCCAGGCCTGAGCACTCGGACGCGCTGGCTTTGAGCGCTGCGAGGCATCCTCTCATCCCAAGGCAGCTGAAGGGACTCCTTCGGCCGGTTAAAAACACCCCAAAAAGGAGATGCTTGTTTTTCTTCGTTACTGGGAAATTTGAGCTCAGGGAAGTGGTCAGGAGACTTTCAGGAAGTAAGGACTTCCTCGTTTTTCTAGCGTGTCCACTGAGAAGAGACTGTGTCAAAGCAAACACCCGAGATCGTACCATCGAATCGAATGCGCATCAAATCAACAGCAACGCGGACCAAAAAGGGGCCACGTGCTCACCTGACCAGCTCAGGCCAGGCCTCTGTGGCAGCCTCGCAAACTCAGAGGCCTAAGGACCACACGGGACGGTCTGAACTTAAAACTTTCCAACCAAACGCAGCTTATGGCTGGTAGTCCTGTCCTGGGCTGGACTCTCCCCTGACCAGCGTCAATCTTTTGGCTGTCGAGAGTATTACTGATGTCCGCATTTCCTACCCCTGCCCCTCAGCCAGCTCCGGCCCCACCCTCGCCTCCCCTGCACTGAGTCCATGGCTTGTGCACATGTCATGTAAGTTCTTTGGTTTATCTCTTCCCGCCCTCCCACCCCCTCTCCCTCTGAGGTTCGTCCGTCTGTTCCAAGCTTCCCTGTCCCTGGACCTATTTGTTCATCAGTTTTTGTTTTTTTTTTCATTATGAGTAAGATTGAGTGATATTTGTCCTTCTCTGAGTGGCTCATTTTGCTTAGCATAATACTGTCCAGGTCCATCCATGTTGTTGCAAAGGATAAGAGATCCTTCCCTTTTTGCTTTTTTACAGCTGCATAGTATTCCATTGTGTACATGTACCACAGCTTTTTATCCACTCGTCTTCTGATGGGCACTTGGGCTGTTTTCAGATCTTAGTTATTGTAAATAGTGCTGCTACGAACATAGGAGTACAGATATTCTTTCTGATTGGTGTTGAAACCGGACAACAAACGAGTCTGGGCTGCCTGTCACCCAGCTAAACAGAGACGAGTTTGAATCGTAGATGAGCATTTACTCCAATATTGCCGGCAGTAGGGAGAGCAGCCAGGTCATCCTGCAAAAACCTGCTCTCCCCTCCCTCGATAGCCGATAGCCGGTAGCTTATATCCGGTATTACGTGGGGGAGTAGGCAAAGGGAATACCGATGGGCAACATGGCCACAGATCACAGGCGTGGGGAGGTCATGGGAGCTGGGGATGTGGACTGTCTCCAGTGCCCCTATGTCAAGGTTGTTAGCCTGCCCATGACAGGGGTGGGGAGTGGGGGAGGCAGCTCCCAGCCAGGTCGAATGGGCTTTCTTTGATCAGCACAACGCAATCATGATTAACAGAGTAAGGATGTCCAACTTCTCCTACAACTATGGCTGGCACCCACTATGATTGTTCTCTATTATTCGGTTATTCTCTCTCCCCTCTCAGTGTTTCAGGACGCTTCGGATATATTCCCAGAAGTGGGATCACTGGGTCAGATGCCAGTTCAATATTTAATTTTTTAAGGAAACACCATATTTTTCCATAGTGGCTGCACCCGTCTGCCTTCCCACCAGCAGTGTGCTAGAGTCCCCTGTTCTCCACACCCTCGCCAACACTTGTTGTTTGATGATTTGTTGATGGCGGCCATTCTGACAGGGGTGAGGAGACACCTCAATGTGATTTTAATTTGTATCTCTCTGATGATGAGTGACACTGAGCATGTTTTCATGTCTGTTGGCCATCTGTATGTCCTCTTTGGAGAAGTGTCTATTCAGGTCTTTTGCCCATTTTTTAATTGCATTGTTTGTCTTCCTTTTGAGTTGTATGAGTTCTTTATGTATTTTGGAAATCAACCCCTTTTCATTTTGAGGATGGTTTCTTTCGCGGTGCAGAAACTCTTCAGTTTGATGTAGTCTCATTTGTTTATATTTTCCTTTGTTTCTCTTGCCCTAGGAAACGTATCGGTGAACATTTTTAAGAAGACAGAGGAAAGGGATAGTGAGCCCAGGAAGGTGGCAGTGTTTGGAATGGAAAAGGCAAAGACAGGATCCCCCCTCAAACCCTCCACCGCACAACCTCCCAAAAAGAAAGCAACTCTGCACACGCCTGGATTTCAGTCAAGTGAGACCAGTGTTAGACCCTAACCTACAGAACTGTAGGGTTAAAAACAGTACAACTCTCCAACGGCTTCCATTCGCAAAAAGGAAAAGTCGATCTTTTCCTTGACTGGGCCTGTCTATTGTCTTTTGCACCTTTGGGATGTCCGGGTCACTTCCCTTTTTCCAGACCCCCGAGGGCAAGGCCGATGCCCCAGGGCAGAGCCCACACCCCTCACTCTGATTTTTACTGAGTTCATTGTTGACTGTTAGCTGTCCTGTACCCACCGGTGTAGAAGAGGCATGTGTGTCTATCATTTCACTTTTCATCCAATCCCAGAGGTTCCCCAAAATGTGCTTTCTCCCCCCTCCCCAATCCATCACCGACGGACTTCATGAAGTCACGTATAAAATAAGGAGCAGCACTGCCCTTCTCTGGAGCGTTGTCTCAGTCCATTGAGATTTTGCTTCCTGGAAAAATTCTTCACGGGTTTGACTATTTCTTACATTGACAGTAAAAGGACATTTTTGAGACAGTAGGAAAAAAATAAATATGAAATGGGCCTGAGGTTGTATTCCTGAAAGTTTCTTCATTTTGCTGGGTGTGATAGAACTACTGTGGTGTGTCCTTTAAAACCTTGACCTGTTCCACACACCAGAGGTTTACAGGTAAATGACGACTGGGATTTGTTTTACAGCGTTGGGGGGGGGGGGCTGGTGTTGATGGTTGAAGCTGGGGATGCGCCCGCCCGCTCTCTGGACACCTTGCCCAGGGCGTCCGGAGGAGACTGGGGCAGACAGGCAAGGGCTCTGCCTGCAACACAGAGCAGGTGCCAAGGTGACACGGTAACGGAAATGGGAGCCCGACGGCTCGGAGCAGACGAGCTGCATGGGGCACCCCCCCACCACGAACAGACGGATGGACAGAGGAGCTGCATGGGGCACCCCCCCACGAACGGACGGATGGACTTGGAGGGGGGGGAAGCAGACATCACGCCGAGTACTGAGGTCTCCCGAGGCTTTGGAACCCTCCAGGGCTGGGAGGGGAGCAGGGGCCCGCCAGCTCCGGGCAGTTGCTGTGGGCAGAGTGAGCGAGGAAACCGCGGTGGTTCTCCTCCCCACCAGAGGCGGTGCCGTGCTGGACTTTGCAGACTCTCCCCAAAGTCCCTCTGTCGTGTGCTGGAGCCCGCTGTGGCCGGCTGACCCCCGCCCGTGCATGAACGTGGAAATCGGGGAAGGAGAAAGGGGGCAGCCAGGGAGAGTGTGCTCTGTGGCCGGCCAGGCGCTCGGCCCCTCCAGACCCTCCTGGCAGGCTCAGCAGCCAACCAGGCTGCCGCAGGCACCCGGCCAGACGTTTGGTTGCCGTAGCCGGCCTCCTCCTTTTTCCAACTGCAGCCGGGGTGCCTGCAGGCCCAGGAGAGCGGCTCACCCAGCTCACTCCGTCTCCAGCTGGGTCCAGAAGCTTCCATCTGGGAACATCGCGATAAGGAGCGGATCCAACCCTGGTGGATGTGGCTCAGTGGGCTGGGCGTCTTCCGTGTCGCACCCGGAGGTCACCCGGAGGTCACCCTTCACTCCCGCCAGGGCACCTGCCTGGGCTGTGGGCTCCATCCCCAGAAGGGAGCGTGCAGGAGGCTCCACCAATGTTTCTCTCTCTCCCTCTTCCTTCCTCTCTAAATAACAATAAAAACATATTTAAAAAAAAAAAAACTTAATAAAAAGTAATGGGTCCAGAAGTCCCTCTGCTTCTGTTCAGTGTTGGCGAAGACAACAGAAGGGTCAGAGGTGCCTGATCAGGGGTGGGGTGCCCTCCAGTGTGCCCCCCACGGCTCCCTTGGGTCTGCGGATGCCCATCTGACCCAGCAGAGCGGCTAAAGCCAGGGAAGCAGAACTCAGAGCTCTTTCGCAGACTGGACACCACTATCGAAGACAGGCTATGGGGGGAGCGAGGCCCTGTTTTCGGCATTTCTACCCAGTACCATTCATTCTTGCAGCTGTTACTGTAACACCCAGTTTCCCGCCTGCTGGGAGCAGCAGATTACAGACAGTCCAAAGGAAGGCTGTTGCCTGGTCCTTGGACTTGCCTCCTGAGGCCGCGGGGACCCCCTGGGTGCACTTGCCTCAGAGCCTCCTTCAGGAAGTGTGCCCCCCAGACCAGCCCCCCAGACCAGCCCCACCAGCATCATGAACGCTCCCCGGAAACACGGGCACAGGCCCTGCCTCAGACCCAGAAATCAGAACCTTCGTTTTCTCCGAGGTCTCCAGGTGGTTCTTGAGCCCAATCAAGTGTTGCCTTTAACTGATAGAAAGGGTTTGCCTCCCATGAGCAAGGGGCCAGGTTCGGGGGGTGGAGGACAGGGACCAGGAAGCAGGAGCAAGGTTGGGACACCTGCTCAGGAGACAGCAGGCAGGGCCGGTTCAGCCTCCTCTTCTGTGCCCTGTGCCCGGCTCACGCTGCGGTCTCTCCTGCCCACATGGCTTCACCTCGGGTGTCTGCCTTTGCAGCTCCCCCTTTCAGGAACCCCCTTCCTCTCTGGCCTGCTCAGCAAGCTCCTAGTCTTTCTTCAAAAATCTGCTACAAAGTCCCCAACTTCTTGTCTTCTGCCCCCTCTTCTCTCTGCTCCTGGGACACTGGGCACCTTCACTCATGTATTTGTGTATCAATCCCCCCTTCAACAGACTCAAAGATCTAGTTAATGCCCCACGTGTGCCAGACACCGAGCTGGAAACTGCAGACCCAGAAGTGAC